AGAACAGGAACTTGAGAGAAAAATGTGGAATGAGAGTCCATGAAAATGGGATTGAGCTATATACAGCTCTCATAGAATCCCTACGCTGTGGAAGCAGGCCATTCGGCCCATCGAGTCCACACTGATGCTCTGAACCCAGACTTACCCCCTACCCTATCCCGTAACGCTGCATTTCCCAAGGCTAATTCACCTATCCTGCACATCTTTGGACCCTCTGTAGTGAGCTACATTGAATATCTTTTCTCATCCATTTCTTGAGATATTTGACATACCTTGGCTTATTCAGTCTAAACAACTGTTCAATTCCACCCATTATAAATCCAGGATGTTCACCTCTGCTACTCAAAGGTCTTATCTATTTCTTTACTACGTACTTTTGTGTAAATCATATTAAGTTTGATCTAAATTTACCTTTATAAATAGCATTTTTATAACCTCAGGCACTGTTTAAGTGCAATCACTTTATACTCTCAGAGATATGGCTGGCAAAATCTCACAAAGCCATGCGATACTAACCAGATATATTCTGGCAATGCTGCAGGGATTCATATTGGTCAAAAAATTAGGAACAGCTTTCTAGATCAGCTTCCAATCCATAGGTTCTTTGATGTCTACCAGAGCGGTCAAGTGGTTCAATATTTCATCCAAAAGCTAGGGCCTCCAGCCATGCTGCATTAGTGCAAGAGTCCTGCTACTGAGCCAGTCGATGCACTAATCAAGATGGAGTCTGAGCAGAGTGCTCAACAGCTTGTAAACGATTTCCTCAGCATTAACCTGACTTGCTGTTTGTTGCTATAAATTGTTGGCTATGTTGAGTGTTCCTCTTCAAGACTGGCTTTTCCCATGCCAGTAAACCATTATGTTTGCCTCCTGTTCTATTTGTTTGTTAACAATCCCATTTGTGGTATCTTCCAAAAACAAGGTCAGCTAACAGCATCCCGTCACTATCTGCCTCCACTCCTACCTGCTTGTCCAACAGTCTTCCAGACCCACATGGTAAATAAATAGAATTTTCATTACCCAATTAGATGATTCTTAAATGTAAACACCCTCACACCTCCTATTTTGAATAGATAAATCAAGGAAGCATTTAAATAAAATGAAAAAAAAATGTTTTGTAACTTCATTTGAATTCAAATATTCCAAATTGCTTGCAATAGCGTCCAGATGAAATTTAACTTCCAAAAAAAAAAGACCCAAACAATGCTGCAGGGCTCACATCTATAAATTCATTGTTTAAACAGAAAGATTTGTTTAGTTTCTTTTGTAACCTAAGGTCAACGCAAAGGGTTTTGCAGCCAATTATGTAGTTTTAGTGGGTAACTGGTGTTAAATGAGGCATAACAGTCAAATTGTGGCAAAGTTCCAAAAACACACAAACACATACATTAAGAGTAAGAGCAGGCCACTGGGGTCCACTGTGCCAGTCAATAAGATTGTGGCTCATCTGATTACTCCACATTCCCAGCTACCCCAATAACCTTTCACACTCATGTTCAAAAGGAATCTAACTCTGCCTTTAGGAATATTCAAAGACTCTGCTTCTACCAAATTTCCAAAGACTCATGTCCCTCTGAGGGAAACAATTCTCCTCATTAGCACCTTAAATAAGCAACCCCTCGTATTCAACCAGCAACCCCTAGCTCAAGATCATCTCATAAAAGGAGACATCCTAGGATCTTATGTTGAGTTAGGTTGTCTTTTACTCTTCTAAACTCCATGAGATACAAGCCTATCCTGTTCAATCTTTCCTCATAAGATAAACTGCCTATTCTTGACATTGGTCTAGAAAATCTTCTCTGAACTATTTCCAATGCATTTATGCCCTTCTTTAAATAAGGACACCAACAATATATGATGCACACCAGATGTGAACTTACTTTTGCATTCAACTCCCTTTGGAAAATAACATTTTATTAGCTTTCATGATTAATTGCTGTACTATGTGCTAATTTTGAAATTCACGCCTAGCATACTCAGATCCCTCTGCTTCACTGTTGCTTTTCCATTTTTGTGCCAAACTGGAAGTTCTGCCACTGTAGAAATAACATTTTCTCTAAAGTCTCACACTAGGTAAGCCCCCAGTATTGCAAGTCCTCATTTGTCACGATGTATTTCAAATGGTGTCCTGTACCAGCCATCATTTCTGTTGACAAACCCCCAACTATCACACTAACCAAAGTGTGAACTCAGTAACTGACAACATAACATTGTTCAGATAGGATTGCACTCACTTGCTACAGCAGACAAGCCTTCTGCTAGTTTTCAAACAACAGAAAATAATATCAGAGAGTCAGGTTTGTTATGATTATAGTGAAAATGGACTATCAATATCATCTTTTGACTTCAATACTCAAGACTTCTATGGACTAAAAGTGATTTTAAAAACGACACTGCTGATGTAAAAGGGCTGCTGTGATCACCTGACAAGCTAGATGACACAAAATTGCTGCCTTGGAATGTACCATTTTAAGCAAAAGGCAGATCAAGGAACTCAGCAACGACTCATGAAATTCACATTTCTTGTTTTGTACATACTTGCAAGGCAGCACGGTGGCTCAGTGGTTAATAGTGCTGCCTCACAGCATCAGGGACCCAGATTCAACGCCATCTCAGGCATTTGTCAGTGTGGAGTTTGTATGTTCTCCCTGTGTCTGTGTGGATTTCCTCCGGGTGCTCCGGTTTCCTCTCAGTGCAAAGATGTGCAAGTTAAGTGGATTAACCATGCTAATTTGCCCATAGTGTCCAGGACTGTGCAAGCTAGTGGGGTTAGCTATGGGAAATACAGGGTTACAGGTGTGGGGCTGGATGGGATGTTCTTTGGAGGGTCAGTGTGCACTCAATGGGCCAAATGGCCTGTTTCCACACTGTAGGGATTCTATGATAACTGCACCAGTTGCAAGATTAAAAGGTTGCCTACAACTATCCAGTTTGATATGAAACAATGACACAGAAATTAGAATCCACAAAAGAATTGTACATCAGCAGCATCCTTTGAGGAAAATGAGAGAAAGCAACAAGCTTTTCTCTTTGAATTGCAGAATCCAGCACCAGTACAAAATCAACTGGTAAAATTTGTCATTCATGAGAAATAAGATCTCCAAACTTCACTGCTGAAGAAACAGGAGATTAGCAAAGAAGCTGAACTCGGATCCTTTCATCCTCACGATCTAAGGGATTCTTACGATCTGTAAGTGTATTTGCTTTTACCTTCCCATCTGTAAAAGGCAATGCACAACCCATTTCTTTGAAAGCTCATTCCTGGTATTTGTGTCTGTTTGTTGTTTGTTCCTTTTTCAGCACAATGTGGCATTTCACTTGGAGCTCGTGTACTTGGTCGCTGCGTTTGTGCTCTTCGACACTGCTGGGCAGCAGCAGGCACACAGCAGCCTGGGTCTCCCAGAAGCTGATGATGCTGCGCTTGTTATTACAACAGCCTCCCCCACAATGTGCTTGACAAACAAGTACATGATGCTCACAGTCTTGGAGCAGATGCCGCTGTCAGCAGTTTGTTGTTGCATTTTATTTTCTTCTTCAGGGCATTGGATAATAAACTTAGTTAAACAGATCTAGTGGACAGTTTCAACTGAAGTGTAATAACTATCTTTAAAAATGAAAGAAATGTGATTCAATTGACCAAGATGGGGTTTAAAAAGGGGAGCTATGATCTCTCCTCAAGTCACAGCTGGCAAGTCAGGCTTATTAACAATTAAAATTAAACAGAACACGGATACTTCACAGCAATCCCCAATTGAATTTCCTGCTTGGGATTAAAAATAAGTGCATCTTTAAAAATCTCTGCTCAATACCTGCAATATTCACACACATTGGCTTTGGTCTATCGTCAGGGAATTTCTGGGTGCTGATCTTTACCTCGATGGCCAATATGTACAAGACCCTTTAACAAGTTGTAAATAACTCCCTGCACTTTTCCTGGTTAATCTGGCCTGCAGTGAATATCTTATTTACTAATATGGGAGCGAGGAGTGCCCATTTCTGCCTGGGACCACGAGTGTATAGTGCAAGAAATTGGCATCCTACAACACAGATCAGCATCAACATAGCTCGCTTGGACTAGTTTCCATTTGGTTAAAGAAAGGACAGAGCAAACCTTTAAAAATTCTTTCTACCCATCTCATATCCACATGCCCTCCCCATCCCTAACTCTCCCCAGATTTCCTGGGTTTTCTCTAAAAATCAGGTTTTTCACCTCTCCAAGAGGACTGCCTGGTGCTGGGTGAGACAAGGACTTTCTGCACCATGAGACGTCACAACTTTCAGACAGGCTGAATAGACCTTAGAGGTTTATAAAATCATGAATGGCAGGTGCTTTTTTTCCCCCTAAGGTGGGGTATTTCAAGACTAGGGGGCATATTTTTTAAGGTGAGAGGAGAAAGATTTAAAAAAAGACCAGGATTTTTTTTTTCCCTTTACACAGAGAGTGGTTCATGCTTGGAATGAACTTCCAGAGGAAGTGGTGGATGTGGGTACAGTTATAACATTTAGATAAGTGCATGAATAAGAAATGTTTAGAGGGGTATAGGCCATGCACAGGCAGGCGGGATTAGTTTAGTTTGGGATTATGGTCAGCATGGACTGGGTGGACCAAAGGGTCTATTTCCGTACTGTAACAATTTCCATTGGTAAAATTTAAAAGGTGTCTTTCGAAAAGCTCTCAAATCAAAGCACTGCATTCCTGAAACTCACCAAGGCCCACAGCCATTTACTGTAAACTGATTATTTTCAAAACACAAATGCCAGCAGCCTTTTTGAAGTGGTTTCTACTTGGTTTTCAATCAAAACAAACTTACTGAAGAATTACTGCCTCCTTGCCCTAATGCCCTCACAATTTACTAGTGATGATTGCATACTCTTGCTAGATCAGTTGCTGTGATAACTAAAACAAAGTGACTGCTAGGATCCCACACAAATGCAATGTTAAAAAAAAATTATATTTTGAAACATGATTGAAATAGATCTATTTATAAAACAGAAAAAAGTTTTCAGCCATAAATTAGTTTATTTTACTGCAGGACTAGCTTGCAAAGCTGTTCAAAGCTCTTAATTGAATTGCAGGTATCCTGCACTACATAAGAATTTCTGTGAAATTCATGTTGTACTGGTCATCTCCAGCAGGTGAGAGGCCCTGCCTCCAATTGTCTAAGGTCAGGTTTTCCAAGTTGCGATGGTGGTGGTGGTGACGGTTAGGACTGAAGATGTCTTGGGGAGGGGGTGCTTCAGGGTCTGAAGCCACAGAGGATTCTCTCCCTTTGCAGCCCCACCCAACCCACCAGAAACCAAACAGTTGCACTGTCAAAATTGGTGCCATAAAGAAACAGAATCTCAGGCTACCAGGATCCCTTTATACTGTGGTAACATGCCACATCGGAGACATTCACTTCTCCTCAGGTGGGTGCCTCAGCTGTATGCACCATTAACAAAGCCAACGTCCACAGCATATTTCTGAATGAGTCAGTGTCTCAAGCAACAGTCAAGTGTTCCAGTCCAACTTGACCTTAACACTCCCTCCCCTTCACCCCACTCACTCTTCCCCTTCCTTCCCACCTGCATTCCCTACTCCACCAGAAACTCCTGGGCCTTTGCAAGATGTGGAAACGCAGTCACCAACTCTTTATTTTGAAAGTAGCAGTACGTGAGATAATTTCCCATTCTATTATTCACTCACTTTCTGTGGAAGTGTATGACTGAAATACAAAACTTCCAGTTGGAAACCATGGACAGATTTTTGCTGCAGCTCCAACGTTAGAACAGGACTGCATCTGCACTTTAGTTCAAAAAGGATGCATCTAAATAAAAATGAAGTAGAAATACCAATTAGTCTACACTTGAGACCTAGTTAGGCTGCATTCGTAGTATGCAAGGGGTAGGTGATTTTACCCCTGAACTACATTCCACATCAGGATGTAGTGAACCACCACTTTCATCAGATCAAATAGCTTCAAGTAGAAATCAAACTCCTGACAGTTCCAGTGAAGGGCCATTCAAGGAGCTGTGGCAAATTTCCATGAAGTATGTCACTTTCAGTAAAGTATCTGCAACAGTAAAACAAAGAGAGAACGTCAGTGATCCTATGAATACCACAGACAAACAACTTTCATGAATACAAGTATAAACACATGTTCCACCAATTCAGATTTAATGGAAGAGTATCATTTGTGCAACTGATTGTGTTTTCACTTTCAGGGTCTGAACATCATTGCAAAGGTTGACTTTTATTACTCAATCTTTATTGTCATAAGTGAGTGGCTTGCTAGGGCTGTTCAGAGGACAGTGAAGAGTTAACCACAACTGCAGTTCTTTCAGTTTTTATTTAGTATTTAACTCACTGCCACATCTCTTCCAGGTATGCTCACCTTGAAGTTCTGTTCTCTATCCTATCGTTTACTCCCTACCCCAACCCCCTCCCCTTTTATCTGCATATAAACTGACGTTTTCCTAGCCACCATCAGTTCTGAGGAAGGGTCACCAGACCTGAAACGTTAACTGTCTCTTCCCTCAGATGCTGCCAGACCTGCTGAGCTTTTCCAGCAACTTTATTTTTGTTCCTGATTTACAGCAGCCACAGTTCTTTCAGTTTTTAACCACATCGGCTGGATTAGAAGGACATGTCACTTTTCCTAAAGTCAATCAGATTTCAAACCGATTGTTAAATTGTACTTTTTATTGATGTCAGCTTTCTAGTCAGAGTCATTACAACAAAGAAAGGTCATTTGGCCTGTTGGGCCCATTCCATTCTTTGTGGCGCTGATAATTTATCTCCCTCATCTGTCTATCCAATTTCCTTCTGGAATCGTTTTGACTCACACCACCCTCAAAAGGCTGCAAGTTTAAGCTCATTACCACTTGCTGCATAAAAATGGTTTTTATCACAACTTTTCTTTATCTATTACTTAAATTTATCATAATCTTTGTACTGCACTTTCAAATCTTCCTTCATCTCCTCTGTTCCAAGAACAATCCCAGTGCACCCAGAGTTTTACAGAACAGAAAAAAGCCCCCAACATACCCTGCGCCAGTCATCAAGCATCTATCTATTCCAATCCTGTTTTTCAGTACTTGATACACGGCATTGTGTGCCAAGACATTTCAAGTGATCTCTAATTGTCATGATGGTTAAGACCAATTTTGGAGCTAAATTCCCTCAATTCTGAAACAATTCTTGTGAATCTCCGTTTCAGGATTTTCACATTATTTCTATAAGTATAGTGACCAAAAATGGGCTCAATACTCTAGTTTTGGATTAAGCAGAGCTTTCTAGAGGATCAGCATAATTTCAATTCCTTTGCAAATAATACCTCAATTTATGAAGCCAAAGAACTCTTGATTCGCTAACTACACTTACAATGTCAAACAGCTTTCAAAGATCTGTTTATTAACTGCAGAAAGTTTCTTTATCCCTGCACACTTTAGAATGTTGCCATCAGACTTGTATTTCCTCCATCCCTTTTATCAAAACGCATCACCTCACACTTCTTCCATTAAACTTCAACCACCATTTCTCTACGTACCCTGCTAGCCAGTTGCAATCCTGCTCCAAACTATTGTTATCACCACCACAGACTTCCATATCTTTAAGTGGGGAATCAGCAGTAAGTTTTCCTAATGTACCTAATGTCCCAATATCCAATATTCTGTCTCAAGTAAGAGTGGTTCCAGCACTGAATTTTGAGAAATACCATAATCTACTATCCTTTACTGAAAAACAACTATTTACAAAATTTATTGTCGTCTTAAGCCAATGTTTTAAATCATCATTTTCCATGAACCCCAATTTTATTAACCAGTTTATTATGAGGTACTTTGTGAAAAACTTCTTAAAATCCTTACAGACAGCATCTATTGTATTCTCCCTTTAACAAAACCATTAAAGGCAAAATACTGCAGATGCTGGAAATCTGAAACAAACACAGGATGTTGGAGAAACTCAACAGGTCTGGTTGCATCTGTGGAGACAAACAGTTAAGGTTTCAAGTCAAGTCTGACTTTTCTTCAGAAACCCTGTCCTGATTCAAATAGAAGTATTATAGACATCTGTGGTACTTGCTCCAGGTTTTAAAATTCCTACAGTCCTCCTCCCAATTTTGCTCCTTTTCTTCCTTTACCTCCAAAAAAAAAAAAAGGCACTAATTAGATTATGGTTCCACAGATCCAAGAAGCAGTAAATCACCCAAATCGTCATTCTGTTAACCTACTGGAGATAATGGTCAAGGCAAGCTATGAACAGGAGATTAAAGAAACAACAACAAATTACCTGGAACCAAGTCCTGATCCACCTGCTCCGACACACTGCTCCAGGATTGAGGGAGAGCCTGAAGATTTGGTAGATTAGCAGGACCAATATTGTGAAGTAAGAGTTTTCTGGACAGATATCTTGAACATTTGTTAATGAATATTTAGTGATGGAGTGACAACAAATTCAAGGGTCAGATGAACCTTTAGCTGCCAGTTGCCTGTAACCTCCTTTAACCAACAACTTGCATTTACATAGTGCCTCAACTCTATCAGTACAAGCCAAGACACAAAGTGTTGGAAGTCCAATCCACAAAGCATGAAAATCAAGGGAGATTGCTGAAATTTTGGATACAAGTGGGGTTGTTTGGAGGTGGAGAAAGGGTGGGGTTTAGGAAAAAAAGGGGCTCATTTTCAGGGAGACAAAAACAGGGCAGTACCTTGAAATGATGGCCAGTTATCCCTTGCCAATGTCACTACAGTCACAGCACATTCACCCAGCCTGTTGGTCTGTAGCTAGAGCCACACCCTCCCCCTCCATTGAGTCAAACAGACAGCAGTCTTTTTAAAAAAGTCTATTCAGGGATCCTCTGACGTAAACAGGATTCCAGCTGCCATGTTTTTTAAACTTACCAGGTAAATTCCCCTTACTGCTCTCGTTCCCTTTATGAATATCCTACCCATTCTCCTCAGGCCTGCAGGATCCAGCCAGAAAGCCAGAGGTTGAGATGGTCAGTTCCTAGCTACCTTTCTTGACATGTTTGGCTGCCTGTCACAGACTGCCAGCCTGAAAGTGAGGTCCAACTGAAGTATAACCAAGAACAGCAGATGCTGGAGGTGTGAAACAACAGAAAAAAAATTGCTGGAGTATCTGTGGTGAGAGAAACAGAGTTAGCATTTCAAGTCCAGGGACCCTTCTTCAGAACTCCTCAAGAAGGGTCACTGGACTCAAAATGTTAACTCCGTTTCTCTCTTCACAGATGCTGCCAGACTTACGGAGTTTCTCCAGTAATTTCATTTTTGTTTATTCCAATTAAAGTATGTCAGGCCTTCTCCTGAAGATTGCCATTTAGATTATGCTCTGAGCAACTACTCACGCCAACATGTGGATGTGGTCATAAGGTAGATGAATGCTCTGCCAGCAATAGCTCATAAGGAACAGGGACTGCATTGAATGAAACTGAAAGGGCAGACAATGTGAGCAGGAATTGAGAGGCCAGGTATAAGGAAGTCAACTCTGACAGACTGTCCAGAGTGGAAGGCCTGCTTCCTCAAACAATTCAGTTAGAAAACTAGTAAAGAAGTACTTTACGTCACAAATCACACCTGCCTATCTCCATTTCAGATCAGAAGCTGCTGATACCAAAAGCTTTTCCAATCCCACCACCCCTCTTGTCCGTTACCCTGAATCAACACACCCCATTACTGGTCCTACACTTCCAGTGAAGTTACAGTTGAGTGACACGCCAGGAGGTGGAGAGACCAACATTAAAGGATACTGCCTTCTGTAAAACCGCTGGACATCCTGAAGCCACTCCAGCATATCTGCTGCAGAAGGACAGAGACATGTGCGCTCTAGAACGGCAGTCAACCCAATGGTGTTAGCCTGTTTCTCATACATTTGGAAGCATGCTGTCACTTGGTTAGTCACTGTGTCCCGCACCTTTTTCAAGGCACTCCTTGACAGATGTTAAAAAAGAGACCATTAGATCGACCAACATTGAATAACAAAACACATTCAAGTTATAGCCACACAGAAAAAAAATTTTATAGGCACATTCCTCCCTGGCTTCCTATGAAATCTCTTTAGAGAAGTAACTGTGACCACAATTTAGGTGTAATTTCACAGGAATTCAAATCAATTTTAGTAGTAATACAAGAATGTTAATTTTCAAATCAGCTTTAATCAGCATTCATGCACCACCTAATGAACTTAAAATAGGCACCTAACTCCGATTGCAAAAATCAGCTTAGTTCATTTATCTCAGAGTCAAAACTGATGTTCCAGTTTAATAAAAGAATGCTGCACTATCATCGAGTGCGGTACTTTCGATCAGATGCTCAACAAGTTTGATTTAATATCAACAACACAATTTAAAAGATCAGGAAATTTTTACAGTGGCCAAGCCAGCAATTTTATTTCAGCCACCAGAAACAATTTGTTATTTATGGGACCCAAGTTTGTCCATTTGGTTTACTGCTACTGCCAAGTGCCAAACAGATGGCAGTTACTTGCAATAATATATTTTTAGCATTATAATGCTTTAATTTGTTTGTTTCTGTCCACAACTCTTCTCCTGAAGAAATAATCTTTCAGAGTTCTGACTGAGCAACAAGAGAATTAACAACGAGGCAACAGTTTACTCAATCCAAAGTTAATGACATCACATTATTCAGAATGGATTTATTCCGGAAAGCTATGAGAGATTTACAATAAGTCTGAATTTGTAACTTACACACAAGGCTTCAATATGAAGTTTTATCAACATAATCAATGTGCAGCCAACCCACACAGACCAAAAAGCTCATCCCCATTTAACTTCACAAATTGCCTAAAGCTTGCTGACCTCACCTGTGATGTCAGCCAACACCCAGTAACTGGCTTCAGCATCAAAGTGTTGGGCAGGTAAGAAAGCAAAGAGGAATAAGAACAGGGAGTACCTGGAGAAATCAAACTGGTGGCATTTGTGGAAAGAGAAACAAGAAGGTCAATGCTCTGAGTCCAAAATTAACTTCTTCAGAACTGAACAGTGAGGTTGAAAAGACAAGTTTTATACTGTAGAAAATATGAAACATAAGGAGAGGTCAGGGAAGGTTACAAAGTAGGGGAGATTAGAAATCACAGGTGTCACAAAACAAAAAGCAAACAAGTAATAAGATCTGTAGAGAAGAGAGATGGGTGCAGAATTGGAGGTTGATAGCAGTAATAGAAAGTGCTGGAAACACTTGGCAGAGCTAGCAAAGAGAGTTACCATTTGTTATCCAGTGCCTAGTAAGAAGTGTACTTCGAACACAAACTGACTAACAAACCTAAAACAATCACCTAGTGTCAGATGTTAAAAACATTTTTTCCAGACTAAATATCAAAGGCTGCACAGCTCCTGAGAAAGTAAACCCTAGCAGAAGTCAGTGCCAGGAGAGATAAAATAGCCAATATTATTCTACTTTTCTCCAGGTTTTCAGAAATTACACTACCAATCACAATTACTACTATGGAGAGAAAAATGTGAATAAATGAATCAAAACTGAGCCGATAGTGAGTGGGAAGTTCAGCAATTCAAGGTAGGCTATAAACACATCTCTGTCACAAAGGCCTTACTCTGACCTCGGATTTATCAGGTCAGTGCGTCAGAACTGGCAAGTGTTGTATTCTCCAAAACCAACATAGTATTATAATAAGCACAAGAATTAACAAATGAGAGCTTAGGATAATTCTATCCATTTTCTGCAGAAATCTGGATCCCTTTGAGCCAATGTTCCTGTAGATGCCATCGGCATTTCTAGAAAAAAAAATTGCACATTTAGTGCCAAATGTAGCCTGACTTTGACAATAAACGACTTGGTGGTTGTACAAATAAATGTCACGAGACAGTACTTCAGGCTTAATTATCAATAGATGAGTGATGCTGGAACCTACATTTTCTCACCAAGGTTTTCCAAATTGATTTCGATAGCCTGAGTGAGTTTGTATTTCAGACGGCATTGTAAATCAGGGAACACTCGAAAGGGGGTATTCATAAACACAACTTTGTTGCACGCTTGCAGTTGCTCTGCCAAGTTACTCAGCGAACTCAGGATTGGGATACATTCCGTCAGTGTACTTTCCCACAAATTTTGTTGCTGCTCAATAACGTGGAAACATTTCTCCAGAACTTGATGAACAGCCAGCAAGGCTTGACTCTGAGCCATGACTTTCTGCTACAATAACCTAAAAAGAAAATCACAAGCAAATAAATCCAATTGACAAGAAAAAATATTCAGTGAAATACAAATATCCAAAGAAATAAAAAGGTAAAGCATGTGTTTGATTTGTGGAAGTGATATTAAAAGATATTTTTAAATATATGAATTAGCAAACTATGTCCTTTAAAACTGCAGATATTAAAACAAAACATTCTGAAAATATCTGGTCATTCTTACAATTAAATTTTATATTTTGAGTTAGCTTTATCTTGGGCTCTAATTTTTCCCTCTTTGTCAACCTTTGTTATTCTCTACTGGTTTTATATTCTGTTCAATCTTGTGACCTGTACAATTATCTCCCTATAAAACTGATGCTATATTTATGTTTTTTCCTTAACTACCATGGTTGCCACAATAACCAAGAGATTGGTACTGAGTAAATTCTTGGAGCTATGGCTGGCACATCCCTGGGTCCAGACGGACTTCATCCTATGGCCTTAAGTGAAGTGACTTGTGAGATGGCTGCTTTTAATTTTCCAACATTCCCTCAATTTGGGGAAAATGGAGGCATGGCGGAGTAGTCATGTCACTAGACTATTAATCCAGGTTAATATTCTGGGGACATGGAATCAAACATGGGTTTGAATCCCCAATGGCAAATGGTGAAATTTAAATTCAATAAAAAGCTAGCTAGTGGTGACCATGTAATCACCACTGTTAAATAAATCTGGTTCATTAATGTACTTTATGGAAGATAATCTGTCTCTCTCTGGTCTGACGTAAATGTGACCTAAGACCCACAGAAACGTGGTTGACTCTTATGTGCTCTCTGGGCAATAAATGTCATCTGGGCAATGCCACATCCTGCATATGGATTAAGGGAGTTTTATTAGACTGGAAGAAAGTGAAAATGGCACAATTCTTTTCAAATCAGACTTAAAGCAGGAACTCATAAGCCAGTTAGCTCAACATCAGCCATTGGCAGATGTTAAAAGCTATTGTTAAAGACAAAAGCACTTTGAAAAAATTCAAGGTAATCACAGAGTCAACATAGCTTTGTGAAAGGGAAATTAATTTTTTTGGAGTTCGTAAAACCAACAACTGACCCAGCATTCACTGCTGTTTGTGGAAGAGAGTGTTCCAAACATCTACCACCTTGTGTGTGTAGAAGAGCTTCCTAACATCTCTCCTGAATTGTCTGGCCTTATTTCTCAAACTATGCCCCCTAGTTTGAGGATTCCCAACCAGTGGAAATAGTTTACCTACCTTTTCTTTTCCTGTTACCTCACTTTGATTTAAATCATGAAGACTACCTATTTCAGCCCCTGCTTGTTTTGAAAATGTCAACCATGTTTTCCAGACGAGAATATTTCATGCCTCTCGTCCTTTGTAGTCTTGAGCGCATCCAAAACCCTGCTATCTGTATTTTAATTTCCAATAAAATATTGGTGTACCCAGCACACTCTATTGCAGTTATTGTGTTTGCTGATCTGCGTTTGCTTCCAAATCTCAGTAGATTAAATATAAAATATTTAAACTCCAGAATTTTCTTACACTCTGTGACCTTCTCCAACCCTACAAAGCTTCAACAACGCTGCATACCCCCAACTTCAACCTGCCGTGCATCCCTTCCTAAAAAAGCTGTTGCTTGCAGATGTGGAATTCCTCCTTCAACTGGCCTCTTCGACTTAAAACCTAATTCTGAATTTTAAGTTTCTTATTAATTTCAAAAATATACTTTATTCATTAAAAATATCGTGTATTATAAATAAATATAATACACACAGTACAGATCTGTACAATAGCATATCAAGAAAACAAACAAACATCGGAGTTTGATTCTATCCAAACAAACCAAAGACATCTTTTTGAGTTTTAAGTCTTCTACGTAAACGCGTCCCTTCCGCAACTCAAGTGAGAATTTCTGATTACAATCTTGCGTGGTACTGACAAAAAAAAAACACATCTCTATCCCACCGACATTTACAGAAGTGGTTAACAGCATGATCGTCTGCAATAGAGAACAGATACCGGCCAGTTCACCAGGGAACCACACTCTTTGGAAATGGTGCCAAAGGATCTGTCAGGGGCATCTGAGCAGGCATGTGGGGGATCTCTGGTTAATATCTCACATGGGCGATGGAATCACTGTGCTCCTGTGAACTAACCGCCTTTGGGCAGCTGCATGGAAGCAATGGAAATGAACTACAGTCAGCAACGAAAGCCCCCTCACAAAACGTTGCTGCTGACACTTTTCGAAGAATGTGCTGGAGAAGGGTCAGCCGACCCGCAGCGTTAACCCTGTTTCTTTCCCCACACATGCTGCCTGGCCTGCTGAGACTCCCCCAACAATTTCTGCCTTCGGTTCAAGTTTTCAGACACTCGAGGAGGGCACGATGCGCCACCAGAGCGGCTGCGTAAGCAGCTCAACCAGTCAACCGACCCTACGCGCCCAAGCGGGGGAGAAAGATAAAGTAATATCATATTATATTATGTTATACCCCACCCCACATTCTGGGCCAACGTACTCACATGTTCGACGGCGGTGAGTGAAACTCCAGAGCAGGTCGATAGCAAACGTCCCGGCCGCACGCCGCCTTATCCGCGCCTGCGCACACCTCACCCAACCACCAGGACTACAACCCCCATGACACTCTGCGCTCCGTAAAATTTTTTTTTAACCCATCTCGCAGGTATATGAATATCACTGAGAAGTTAAAGACATACATGCTTATTTTCATGATCTTTTCCTCCTTGGAGTTTAAAAATGATTTATTTGCTGAAAGTTGAATTTTGGACGGTTGCTCTGTGAAGTGACATCCCACTATGATGGGCGATTGGATAGGTTCTGGGCCAGCCACGCTGCGATTGGCCGTGTCCTGGACAGTTCGTGCTGTGAATGGCTGATATCTGGGACAGCTGCGCTGTGATTGGCTGATATCTGGGCCACCTGTGCTGTGATTGGTTGGGCACGGGGATTCAATCTGCTCTGGTCCATTCACGTCATGCTACCGAAAGCACACCAATGGCTCGGAGATAACAAGGTGTAGAGCTGGATGAACACAGCAGGCCAAGCAGCATCAGAGGAGCAGGAAAGCTGACGTTTCAGGCCTAGACCCTTCATCAGAAATGGGGGAGGGGAAGGGGGATCTGAAATAAATAGGGAGAGAGGGGGAGGCGGATAGAGGAGAAGATAGGTCAAAGAGGCGGGGATGGAGCCAGTAAAGGTGAGTGTAGGTGGGGAGTTAGGGAGGAGATAGGTCA